TTCTCACACACCTATCTTCCCTGGAATTTGGGTCATTTCTTGGTGAGACGCTCTATGGTAATTGTATGATCACCTGACTGAACAAGGAAATTACAATGAAGAGAGTGAGGATGCATTGCTTCTTCCCCCAGGTCAGTCCCAGGCCCCTGAGTTGTGGTGTTTGATTTGCAGCTGGAGCCTCCCAGAGGCCAAGGAGCCCTTATCACCTCTCCACCCTTACACCACATTTTACAGACCTCTTTCCTGAGCTGTTGGATGTATTCCTGGCCGTGGGTAGCACCTGGAAACCAGCAGGCAAGACGGAGGAGAAGCCAAGAGGCAGAAGAAACTTGATGAGCGTTGGGCAGTCCTGGGTTCGAATCCCACCTCGATGCTCACTGTGTGCTCTTAGACAAATCACAGAAGCCCTTGAGCTTTTTGCAAAATCAGGATGATCTGAATACCCGTGCCTGACTCATAGAAAGAGGCCAAGAGGCGGTAGTGTTGCTGTCATTGCTATCATTATAATTAAATGGTAGGTCAAGGTTTCCTTGGGGCACCTGCCTAGTATTAAATAGCTCAACCTGGGAACACTGTGTAAGTTCTATACACTTTAGGCGACGCTGAAGAACACGGTATGGGCCTGTAGGCACTGCCTAGAACTAACTCTTGTGAACCTCCTATGAGCCAGGTTTCACAGAAAAGAATTTCGTACATTTACTTAATTCTCACAACTTTTCTGTGAGGGGAGAATTATGTCCACGTTTTATAGACACAGAAGTGGGGCATATCTAAGAGACAGTGGGTGAGTTAGGGTTTGAACCAAGGCCTGCAGGACTCGGCAGCCCTGACCTCACACTGCCCCTGGTACCACCGTTCCCCTCCTCAGCTTCCCGCAGGACTGGCCAGATGCCCTCCTGTGTGCTCCTTTCGGCGTCTACCCCAGAGGTGCCTGTCTCTGTGTCTCCCACGAACCTCCAAGGCAGACTCTTGTCCTGGTCACTGGCTTATTCCCTGGGATTAGCACAGTGCTTGGCATGGAGTGATGGCTTTCTAGGCGGGTGATAATGAATGAGTGAGGCTCGGAGATGGTGGGAATTTGAGAAATTCATGCAGAATCTCTCTGCTTCCATTTCCTCCCCTGTGACGTGGCTGAATCAGCCCTACTTTATAGGGCTGTTTGTGAGTATCAAGTGAAGTAATGTCTGTGATGTGCTTGCTGCAGCCCCTGGCACATTTGGCTGGTACAATCAGCATGACTGTTGGTTCTCCATCACATAGCCTTTGCTAATAGAGTCCGGTGCACCGTAAAATCGCAGCCAATATTTGTTGAAAGATGAAAGAGAGGAGAGAAGACAGGAAGGAAGGAGGGAATGAGGGAGGGAGGAAGGGAAGGAGGGAGGGGAAAAATAAAGAAAGGAAGGCAAGAAAGAATATTATTTGCTGGATGAGGCAAGGGTGATGCCTCTAATAGACATTAGTTGGTCCAGCTCATTTTGCTCTTCCCAGGCTGCCATATAACCCATGCTGTTAGGGTTGCCGGATTTAGCAAATAAAAATACAGAATGCCCAGTTAAATTTGAATCTCAGATAAACAATGAACACTTTTTTTTAGTATAAATATGGCCCATGCAATATTTGGGACACGCTTATTCTAAAAACTTATGTGTCATTTACCTGAAATTCTAATTTACCTGGACATCCTGTATTTTATCTGGGAACCTACGTGCTGTTCACCCTGAACATGGGTTTTAGATTCATTCCCTCCATCAATTTCAAGGCTAGTTGTGCTGCTAAACTTGTACACTCTTGTATACTACATTACACGGTAATGACTATAATTTCAGGTCCTTGTGAATTCTAGACTCTGATTTGTTCTTTGTTTAATTTCTGTTATTCAAGTGCATGCGGTTTTTAAAGGTATTTACAAATATCTATTGAAATTGTTTTAGATTACTTATATCCTAAATTAGGGATGCACATTTAACATTTTCTAATTAATTTTTAATGAAAAGTTGCATTTAATATTTGGCAGAGAATTTTGTAGAACTTAAGACATATCTAAGAAAAGAAAGAAAATTCAGGTCAAAATTCTCATCCTGCACAGAACACAGGTATGGTAGAGCTCCCTTCCCAAATTTTCCACAATATCTTGACCATCCTTACTAAGACAACATGTCATTTTGTACAATTTGTGCTATCATGCATACCAACTAAAATGAGAGTTCCAGATAATAGTGATCTCATTTTGTGATCATTTGAAAACATATATGCATAATTCTAAGCAGTGGGCAAGCTTTTGCACACCTGTTGTTCTAGAAGTGGGCCCGTAGGGTGGAGGAATTCTTTTCTAGGTGAAGGGCAGCAGCAAGCCACCTTTGTGCAGATGTGGGAGCCATTCAGGCAGACCGGGAGATCTTTAGTATCAACACAAACACCAAGCACCTGCATCATTTTTTGTATGCACACAACGCATATACTTTGAATGAGTTCTAAACACTCAAACCTGTTTTTCTGCTGTCCTCTCTCAGAATCACAGCATTGATGGAGCTTTGTTTTCATATAATGATAACTTTGTAATATGGTGCTTTGAAGGTCCAAATCAGAAATGTTTATTCTGTACAGATGCAGAGGGATGAGAAAAGGGCTATCTTATCTATGTATTTAATAGACTTGTAAGTACCTTTGTGTCAGTTTTTCCAAATTATTGGTTTTTCTTTGCTTCTCTAGAACAGGTTTGTGCATTTCAGATTTGGACTGAGGCTTTCTTTCCCTCCCCATTCTCCATTTACATACTGCAATGTTTTGGCTGTGATATTAATTTTTAAAAAATGATTACAAACCTCAAATGTGGAAAATTGGTCTTCTCTGTAGCACAAATAAACACTACCTATTTGTCCTTTTCACCATGGTTTTGACCTACCACTATGGGATTGGAAGCATTTATCTCTGTGTGTTCTGTGTATATCCATCTATTTTTTTCTTTTTTGAAGGACCAGGAAAGCATAATAGTAAGTTACATAAAATTTAAAATGTTATATAGCAAATAAATAGGTGTCATGGAAACCCAAGCTCACATTTAGATTCAATAGATGCATTTCAGCTTTTCTTTCAATAGTATGAGCTGAACAAATCATGCTTGGAAAGCAAGAGAGGAATCTGCCAGTAATACACTTTAATTATCATGATAAAAACATGCAAACAAAACAAAAGTCTTCATTTGGGCCCAGATAGCCATTAGCCATTAGAGTGATAGGATGGGTTCCCCCTTTGTCAGAAGCTCTTAGATCTTCTCACTGAGGCAACAGCCCCAGTTTTTAACCCTTCATTTCATTCTGACCATCCTTGCATTCAGTGAACCTCCCTATGTGATGTGAAGTGAGCCCAAAGCCGCATCATATACATAGCCGTCCCCACCTGGAACTCCGCTAGTGCCCATGGCTTGGTGGCTTGATCCGAAGTCTCCTATTTAACAACAAGTGCTCTGACAGGAGGAGGTGGTGAGGGCTTATACAGCTGACCCTTGAACAACATGGGTTTGAGCTGCCTAAGTCCACTTATACATGGATTTTTTTCAAGTGTAAATACTACATAGCCCAGGGTTGGTTGAATCTGCGTGTGTGGAACCTCGGATACAGAGGAAGCAGGGATAGGCAGGCTACACCGTAGGGAGGGCCTACTATAAGTTACACGCGGATTTCCCACTGCGCAGAGGGTTGGCACCCCTAACCCCCAAGTTGTTTAAGGGTCAAGTGTATGCTAGTATGAGCTGTTCGTATCTCATATCTTAACCAAAAGAGCTAACCTATAACCTAGCATGACATGAACTGGGCTGGCAAGTGCCAAAGGTTTAAGTCAGGATGGGTCTCATTATGGGGTGTGGCCTAACACCCCAACCTGAACATCTGATGGTCCCTAGCACGTGGGGGTATCATGCTGGAGGGGAGAGAAAAGGAGGTAGAGAAAATACATAAAGGGCGGTGAAAGGAAGTTCAGCCTTTGCTTATGCTCAACGTTTGGAAATGGCTGGTGGGACTAGTCTGCCAAGGTACTTGACCTTGGCATCTGTCCTCTTTCCTGAAGGTGACATAGGTAGTCTGGGCACTGGTGACTCTGCCAGGCATGGAACTTTGATGATACATGATGCAAATTATCTCAAGCTGTGGGACTCCATGTGCCTTGGCAATGAGTGTGCAGAACGTCATTTGCTTCTTTATATAAAATAAAATCTCAAAGCCATGCGTTGCATCTACCTTTGCTAAAGGTGGACTCTGATATTAGCTTTATCTTCAGGACAACCAAAAGACGAGGGAGGAAAACAAGCCTCCTCTCTTTTCATCTCAGTGTTCTGCAGAGAAGAGTATTTTCCTACCATCCAACTACAGGGCATATGCCCTTTCACAGGAGACCTAATGGATAGGAAATAAAGGGGAGGGAGTGGAAGGTAGCAATTGCTGCAAGTAAGCTGCCAAAAGCATTAATTACTAGTAATAATAATAACGCCAGCTTTAAACTATTCATGAGTTGATTAAGAAATCTCTGTATAGTGGCTGCCCCCAGGAACCCTACAATCTTTATTCGCTCGCTCACTTTTTAAAAAGAATTTTCATCACCTTGTAAGTCATTTGCGTTACTCTCGGAAGGTGAGGTGGTAAATGGGACAGTAAGAAAAGTCAGTACTTATCAATTAAAATGAGGTGTAGCCTTGGCCGGACTTTGAAAGTTGGGCCTTGGGTAACTAAGAGGGGCCTTGGGTATCGAGTAGCAGTATACCTGTGAGCTCCATCTCTCTGAACCCATTTTATTCTATTTCCCAACGCTGAACTGGAGAAATTGAGAGAATGGCTAGGGCTTAATTATCATGTTCTAGTCTTCCATAAAAAGTCATGCTATTCCAGCAGGCTACTGTGCTCTTGGTATAGGGAGATGTCAGCTGCCTCTAAATAGACCCCTCTCCCTTCTAGAAGCTCCTCACAAAGTGACTGTCACAACCACGTGGGAGCAAACCCATACCTGCAGAGCTATTCTTCATCCACGTCTGTTACAAACTGGGAATGGTGTTCGGGTGACTTGCTGTGCGTTTTGCTTAGGTGGAGTTTTACTGCGTGTTTGCTCACAAATGTCCGACAGCACAACTTACACTTGAACTTAGAGTCTGTGTCCTCTTCGCCAGCTATGGTTTCCGGTGACCTCTGAGCCGACGATACCCGGGAGATCTCTCGCTCCACTTTGCTTTGCTGTTCCACGGCCACGCGGGTCATGTCCTTCATTTGGAAACCTAGGTGAGATTCTAAGTGACTGATGTAGGTAGAAGGGGTTCGGAACTGGGAGACACAGTCGCTGCAATAAAAGATAGGCTGTCCTTTGTCCATGTTTTTCAGAAATTTGGTCCCGCCCGTTTTCCTAAGTTGGTACTTGACGTTGGCGAGCCAGTGGCTGATGGTGGTCATTGAGAGCCCCGTAAACTTCGAGATCTGCATTCGCTCTTGTGGGCCCAGATCGGACAGCAGGTACTTGCCCTCCGACGTCTGGAAGAGGCTGGAGGCAAACTGAGCCTGCAGGATCAGAAGATGCTGAGGGTTCCAGTTGGACTGCCGGCCTTTTCTTTTATGCAAGGTTGAGACTTCGCTGGGCACGTCCTCAAAGCGCCTGACGTCCATCTCCAGCTTCACGGGAGGGACCCTGGAGGAAGCAGCAGGCTTTGGGGTGGTGGCTTTGGGGAGGACTTTGACCATGTCCGCGATATCAGACAGAGCGTGCTTCTGGGGCGGGGACGTACAGGACTGTGCTTGCGAGGACTCAGCCTTCTTGCTTTTGGACTTGGTCAGGTCGATGGGCTGATCGTTGCTCTCAAACAGGTAGCGTCTGGACACGCTGGCCGGCCTTGTGGAGACAGGACTCAAAACCGGCTTGTCCATGACACTGAGACCCGACTTATGAAACATCGACATTGTGCTTGAGCTTGGGCTGGAGCAGGAAGGAGAGCGCAAGGGTTCCGTAGCTTTGCCCAGGTGATTGTTCAGGACAGACTGCAGGGCACTGAGCGGGTTGATGCACGGCAGGGCCGAAGCATGGCTGGCGAGGGCACAGCCATTGCTGGGAGAAGATGCTGGCTCCAAGGGCTGGGGCTTCTCTTTCTCACCACCTTCCTTCATCCGCTTGTCCTCCTCCTTCAGGGGACAAGGCTCGGCCTTTTTGGATTCTGAAGGGGGTTCACATCTGGAGAAAGAAGCCCCCTCACTGTGGCTGAAAGAGGACGCCTCTTCCTGGGGACTCTCTTTCCCACACTCCCTCACCACCTCATCTTTGTCTTCGGGTTCCTTCTTAACTTGTGCGTATGGGGTCAGGCTCGTGGGCACAGAAACCAGCGGCATTACTTTCCACTTGGGTGCAATTGGCCTTAACCTGTTGGTGAGGTTGGGTCGAATCTGCAGTACCTGGGAGCCCATCGGCAAAGAAGGCTTGGTGCCCTCTGACAGCTGGTAGGCGGCATGGATGCTGGGGTACGCGCTCCAGCTGGGAGCCCCATTTTGGGCTTTGTTGATGGCGGTGGTAACAGTATTTTCCAGTGACTTCAAAATGTCACCTCCACCCTTTGAGCCGTCTTCCAAATCTTCCTCCCTTAGATACTGGTATTTTATCGTCGGGTCTAAAGGCTTCTGTAGAGGGTCTTTACAGTCCTCGCTTTTCACGACTTTCTCCTCCTTGTTGATCTGCTCTGGTTTTTCTTTTTTACTCTCTCTCTTCAACTCAGTTGTAGAAGCCGTGCAGTCGGAAGCTGAGTTACTCGATGGCTTGGGAGCCAGAGAATCACTGTTGGGGGCATCTGACAATGACTGTATCTTCTCCACAGCGAGTGGGTCTAGCACCAGCTGCTTCCCTTTCTTGGAGGCAGAGCTGGTGACCTTGAGAAAGTGACCGGTGACCATCATGTGGGTGGTGAGCTGCTGCAAAGTATCGTGGGAGCTCCCACACTCCATGCACTTCAAGATCTGGGACTTGCAGGCCTCAAACTGCCAGGTGTAGCTGGCGCCATTTTGGTAGCCGTAGCGATTGTTGGAGGACAGCTGTAAGTTGGCGTTCTTCTGAGAAGGAAACGAATCTGCAAACGATCCTGTGGTCGAATCGGGGGAACACGGCCGATTGATGTCAAAGATGCGTTTCTTCGCCGGAGTGACCATCTTCGATGAAATGGTTGGTACTGGTTCCTTCAAAGGCACTTTTTGGTAATGTTTCGTTTTGATCATGTGGACGCTCAAATCTTGGAGGGAATCGAAGGAGTCGCCACAGAACATACACTTCAGGACCTTTTGAGCGTCCTCCTTGTCCATATCCTGGAAAGCCCTTTTCCGGGGCTTTGAATAGCTCGTGGGTCTGAGCTTGTCCTTTCTGCGGTTGTCATCTTGATAGTGGCCCGTTTCGTTCATGTGCACGGTCAACTCGACCAGGGTGTCATAGGCGGCGCTGCACTGCCGGCACCGGAACCTGCTGGCCCCGGTGAAAACGGTCCCACACATCTTACTGCTCTGCCGGTACAGCTGGACCGAGCTGAACAGGCTGGGCTTCGACACGGATCTGGAAGGCAAGTTCTGCTGTAGGCTTTTGGACAGAGCATCTTGGTGCCAATCGAAATCCGTCTTGTTGCTGCCATTTCGGGGGTCACAATTCCGCCTCTCGCTGTTGGACAGTTTGAAGCCGAGACCCAGGCCCGACCAGTAGGAATCAGACAAGATGTTGGCGTAGACGGCGGTCATTTTATCCATGCAACTGTGGGCTTCGTTTGGAAGCTTGGGGTGCACGCTTGCTTTCTTGTCCAAGGCATCTCGGCCGCACACACTCTTGATGTCTGACACCTGATCACTGGCGTCACTCAGCAAGGACTCATTCTCGGCGTCCTGATTGGACAGGTGACTTCCTGGCGAGTTCTGGTAGCTGAAGCAGCCTTTCTGCTCGGGGCCCGTTTCTAGCTCCTCGTCTGTCCCTGGGTCATTGCTGCCCTGAAGTTGAGCTACCGAACCACTGTCTTCTTCCTCCTCCTCCTCTTTTATTTCCTTCTCTTCCTTCAGCTGTTCTTCCTGGGCGTAGCCTGCAAGAGAACAAGAAGAGATGAGATAACAGTAGCAGGTGACATAACGCATCCCAATTTCCCCACTTGGACAAAGTGCTTCCCATATGGAACTAACAGTGTAATCGACACTTTTATGAACTGCAAGCAACGGATACAGGAAAAAGCCAAGTGGTGTCTTTTGTGCCATCTAATGCCTTTTTAAAAAAATTGGCAGGGGTCATAATTCTTTATAAGTGCCTAGAATTCCAAGTTAATAATTTTCCTGTTTAAGGAATATCACTCTAATACTCCTATGATGGGACAGTCACTAAATTCACATGTATGACTCTCAGGAAAGCTGGACTGAAATTCAGATCCTGTTACAGACATAGCTCTACAAGAAGGACGTTGGCTCATAAGAAAACTAGTAAGACTTGACCCTTGGCATCCTCATGGTAAGGTTGACCAAGACACTTGGCCCTGCTGGCATACACTCATTTTTGAGTGCTCAGAAGTAATTTGGATGCATAGCCATTACATTTTTGATAGCGAGGGTCCTTTTTGTTATAACATTTTTATTTGTAGAGAGTCGCACAGCAGGAAGAGAGATTATGGAGTATCAAATAAAATCTTCCATTGATAGCTGAAAAATTATGTAAGCTCAGCAAATATAATGATTTTAAAATAATAGCAAATGGTGTTAGAATGGGAGATTTGGGAACTATCCTATTATTCTCAGACAGGTTTATGAAGACCTCTTCAGACAAGGCTGAAAATGCCCTCTCGATCCTGTGCCTGTAATGTCAAATGCACTGTGATTTGTGGGTACCCGTCATGAGATGCCAATTATACATTTGATTTGTAGATGCAAAATGCTATTGGGGATGCATGCTTTCCCTTCTCTGAAAGGACTTAGGACCAGTAATTGCATAGGGAAAATGAAGGCATGAGAGAGCGGGTGCAAAGGGAATTAATGGGCAGATACCCATCAATGGAGATGAGGAACGTGACTATTTATGCCCATGTGCTCATTTTCTTCACCTGGCCTTTTCAGAGCCACGTGGACAAAATGCAACCAAAGAAGTGCCAAAGCAAGGGAGATTCAGTCTCAGACGTGTAAGGGCTGCGTGATCTCAATGCGGTATTTTCCTTATGGGGTCCTAGCTCCCCTCTCAGTGCAGGTGGGTACTTGGGAGAAACCCTAGGACAATGCTGTTACTTCCATTCACCAGGTATAATACTTGAGAAAAGGGGTGCTCAAGCATTGGCAGTCTCTCCTGAGAGGCAGGCAGAGAGGAGAGAAGGGGGATTATTAGGAGTAAGTCACCTGCAGTCAGGAACTCCAAGGGCTCCAAAGACTGAAAAGGAAGAATATTTCTTTTTCAGATTTTTATTTACATATTTATTTTCCAAAATTAGGGTTTTTTAAAACTTGAACTGTAGCTGATTTACAATAATGTGTTAGTTTCTGGTGTACAGCAAAGTGATTCAGTTATACACATATTTATATATATGTCTTTTCAGATTCTTTTCCATTATAGGCTATTATAAGATTGAATATAGTTCCCTGTGCTATACAGTAAATCCTTGTTGGTTACCTATTTTATATACAGTAGTGTGTATCTGTTAATCCCATACCCCTAATTTATCCCTCCCCTGCCTCCTCTTTGGTAACCATAAATTTGTTTTCTATGTCTGTGAGTCTGTTTCTGTTTTGTAAATAAGTTCAATTGTATTGCTTTTTGGATTCCACATATAAATGATACCCTATAATATTTGTCTTTCTCTGTTTGACTTACTTCACTTAGTATGATAATCTCTCAGTCCATCCATGTTGCTGCAAACGGCAATATTTCATTCTTTATTTGTGGCTGAGTAGTATTCCATTATATACGTATGTGTGTGTGTGTATATATATATTTATATGTATGTATATCTGCACATATATGTATACATACCACACTGAAGATGAAGAATATTTATTAATTATTATCTCCTAGGACCTGTGCTAACTATTGCAAATACATTCTTTCATTTTATCTAATATCCACACGAAGTAGAAACTATTATTATTTTCATTTCACAGATGCAGAAACTGAGGCTCTGAGTTTGAGAAGTTTTTCCCAAGGCCACATGGTTAGCATTGCAGGGTCGTGCCTGAACCCAGCCTGTGTGATGAGAGAATCCATGGTCTTAACCACTAGGTTCCACTCTCTTTTTAGTACCAATCTAATAAATAAGAAAACTGCAGAGACCCAAAGGTTAAAGGTCAAGCCATGGGGTTTCTTTGAAATGTCACCAAATATATAACCACCTCGGAGGGGAGAACTGTAGGAATACTGTGGACGAGAGCCCACGATTTTAAGGGCGTGATAGTGTAAAACAAAATGAAATGTAAAAACTCAGCCTCGCCAGTGGTTTTGTGGTTGTGTTCCATTTTGTTGTTGTTGTTATTGGTGTTGTGTTTTTGCTTTCCTAGCAGGTTGACAAGTGGATTTTTCATTAAACTGGGGTTGCTGGTCTCTAGTTCCATAAATTGATTTGAAGAAAAAGCAGCTTCTCAATCTAGGCAAACAGTCGTTAATAAGTGGTCACTACTTGCAAGAAAACCCTAGCTTAGAATAACAGAATTAGATCACACCCCACCCCCGACCCCATCCTCATCGTGTTTTCTTTTTCCTGGACTAGTCTGTATGTTTGTAGAAATAGTCATACCATTAAGATGAGGGAAAAGGTCTATTAACAAAATTAATAAATGACTTGTTACAGAGCCAAGCAAAATACTCCAAAGAATCAGGCAAATTTTACCAATTAAAAACAGGGTTACTTTTGAGAATTAAAAGGGCTTTATTACTCATACACTGGGATGATACATATTAGCCAGGACTGTTCCGGGCTAAGCTATATAGTCACCACACCTATGGGTGATATGATCACTGAAACAAAGAACACATACACCTACACACAAAGCAGGTGAAGAAATCTAGGGGGAAAGGAGAAGGCTTTTGCTCATTACGGTTGGTTAACATGTTGCCAGGTTTTATTCATCTCACTATTTTCAGTGCCTAGCACAGGGCCTGATACTTAGTAGGCGGTTGGGAAATAATTCATGTTACGTTCGTTGTATGTGTGTTGATGAAACATACATGCATGCTTGCATATGCAGGCGTGCGCGCGCGCGCACACACACACACACACACACACACACACACACACACACACCCCACAGACAATCTGCACAGCCAATATAGTCATTTTCACACAAGGAGAAAAGAAGTGTTCTTTTTTAATGCTGACATTTGGAAGCTGAGCTTTCCGGACCAGCTCAACTTCACAATCTACTTTGTCCTTCTAAATGGATTCCCCAGAAGAAAAGTCGAAGAGAGCAAATGGCTCCCCCACAATACAGATAAAATTTTCTGCTTAATTAGGCATTGACATGTTTACTATAACCTTTACAGAAGAGTAACTTGCACTGAGAGACCCTTTTTGTCTGTTTTCTTCTGCAGAACAGACTAAATCTCATGCACCTGATAAAGTAACGCATTGAAAAGCCTCATAAAAAAAATGCCAAAGCATCCATCAGAGTGAGTGTATTTTAACAATGGCTGGAGGTTCCAAGGACTTTTAAAAAACACATTTTAATATTATACATTTAAAACTGTTCACTTAAGTGTTTTTGTTTGCCACCAGCAGCTGAGGGGAGAGAGAGGGAAGACAGCCAGAATATGGGTGATCTGTGTGTATAATGAGTATCTGTGTCTCTCTGTATTGATGATTTGTTCAATAAGATTGCATCATGTGTAAATCTTGGTAAAGTGGATGAGTGGCAAGTTTATTCCTCTGAATACTTATTTAGCAAAAGAAAATGATCACAATTGCACCGAGGCCCAAGGAGAAAGGAGTGTCCTCTGCAGAACCTCCTTGTCGACTTTGGGTTTAAGATCAAACTTCATGGTGGCAAACATCTCCCTGTCCAACCTAAATGTCTAATTTCATCCCTTACCACCACCTGACTGTGGCCACATGAAGCTTCTCCACTCCCAGGACAGGTAATTCATGGGCAAACTCAGTTCCATGTCTAAAAGTTCTACGGTCAAGAGACCATCTCTCTTCTACTCCACAGCCACTGCTCTGTGTCGCCATTGCTGTTCACTCACGTGACTAAATGGGCTTCCTGCTTCCACTTCCTCTAGTCTGTTTTCCAGGGAACTAACTGCTAGAATGTTCTTTATTAAAGATGTTAGTTGGAGACTCACTGTTTTAACTCCTGCAGTGTCTTTCTGCTGCACAAATAGAAATATAATAAAATTCAAACCCTTCGCCTGGTCTATAAGAGCTGGCAGGATTTGGCTTTTGCCTTTTTGCTTTATCGCCCAGTACTCTCGCCTTGCCCTCCACACCCATGGTACCACAACCTACTGGTTCCTTCTTGCGTCTGCTGATCCTTTCCTTGACTGTGGTTCTTTGCAATTGCAGATTTCTCTGCTTGGAAGGCCCTTCCTCTTTGGTTCCTTTTCATGCTTTAGAATTCAGCTCAAATGGCCCCTTCCTGACCAGTTGTCCCTTCTCTGTGTAACTCTAGATCACATCAACCTACTTACTGAAAGCACTATGGCACTGACCATACTCTGAAATCATCTTGTGTGTTTATTGACTGATTGTGTCCTCCCACTAAATGTAAAGGTAAAATATCTGTCTCCTTGAAGGCAGAGACCTTGCTTCTCCCAGCACTCAGATAGCATCCCGGCACAGAAAGATGTCCACAAGTTATCTGAGTGAGTGGACAAATAGATCATACAACGATAGGGGATTAGTCCAGTTGCAACAGTGCAGTCGGCACCTGTGACGGGTATATCTCCCCACCCGAACCCTGATCTAGATCAGATGTGAATTACAACCATCCTGATCAACTTTTCTCAATGATAGAAACAGAACAACCCCACAGATCATCTTTTCAGAGCAACCCAGCCACCAACATTCTTGTTGCCAGAAATCCCTGAGCTGTGGATTTAAACTTTTTAAGTATGAAGGCTGCAAATAAGCATCAAAACTGCAAAGCATCAGGAAATACACTCAATGTGAGCAGATTTTATTCAAAAAAGATTCACGCTACTTTGAAAGTGTGGATGAATTTTGTCATGGATAAAGCTCATTAGCTGTTCCATGATGTATATTACACAAATATTAATATTAGGGTTGTCTTATCCCAAATGCTTGATTTTACAAAGGAGAAATGTCATTAGAAAAATATACTATATACGCTGCAAACGTTTTACCCTATCATTATATGGGCAAATGGTGAAACAAATCCTCAAACTTTAGAAATTTCCTCTTAAATCAAAGGTTAAAAGAAAAAGGAAACAATTTAAAAAATTACCACCTCAATTGTTCCAAAAACCTGTGGTCAGAATGGCTTAAATGAAATTGTGCAAAATAATTCATGGGTGGCATGATGTAAATATCAGATTGTTGCTAAGCATCCATGTTTGTAGTTGCCTTGAAAATCCACAATAGAGTGTTTACAGTAAAAGCACTGACAGTTTTTAAAGTGGCAGCAGAGGTGGAAGAGTCATAACCCGAGAAGAATATAAAACTCAAGAAGGTTGATTTTTAAAAATGAAACCAGAATTCAATCAAGACCTCATTTAAAAACATATCCGGTGGTGACAGGATCGTTTTCGCCAATCTGCCCCACTAAATGACAGTTTAAAATCACATGAAGGGGGCTTCCCTGGCGGCGCAGTGGTTGAGAGTCCGCCTGCCGACGCAGGGGACGCGGGTTCGTGCCCCGGTCCGGGAAGATCCCACATGCCGCGGAGCGGCTGGGCCCGTGAGCCGTGGCCGCTGAGCCTGCGCGTCCGGAGCCTGTGCTCGGCAACGGGAGAGGCCGCAACAGTGAGAGGCCCGCGTATCGCAAAAAAAAAAAAATCACATGAAGATTCCACAGTGTGCAGGGCAGACGTAAATGAGGGGATCGCAAGAATTTCTCACCGTGTACCCAGTAGGTACAGTAAATGATGACACGGAAGGTCTTCCTGTCATGAGTCTCTAGTGTTTTGGTGACTGTGGTCTAGAAATCTGTTAGTATGTATATTATTATTGGCACTAATTGGCACTCTTGTTGGCAGGCTGAGGAAAGAGATAGAGGATTTCTTGTTCAAGGAGGCTGAGCTACCTTTCAGTGGTGACTGGGTCCAGAGCAAGGGCCCCTCGCAGGGCTGTGTTGAGGGGCTCTGTCTGCTTTGTGTTCCAGGAGGTGGTAGGCTACGGGGCTGTGGGATCCCCGGCTCCCTTCCTGAGCACAGACCTGACTTTACAGAGAATCCAGGTACCACGAGCCAAGGCTCAGCCTCCCTGCCGTCTGGAGAAATCTAAGCTCAGGCACATTTCTAAAAAGAGACATTTTCAATTCAATTTTCATATAGATTTTTATTCCTGCCACACCACATAAAACTCACTAACATAAGCGTGACTTGTACATGCAGCTCAAGAGAGAAGGGCTGGTTCCTTCCTCTATCTGAATGTCAGAACTAAACACATAGAATCCTTTGTTTAAAGGAATGTTGAAGATGGAGTGGTTCAATGACACGAGGCTTCTCCTGGGCCCAGAAGTGCTCTGTAGAGATGGATGGAAAGCTTTCTGAAGGTCATCAGAACAACATCCCTTTTATTATTTCCTGCAGACGTTCAGTAAATTGGAATGTTTTATATGTACGATGGATACATATTGGGTGTGGTCTGCATGGAAAAAAAAAGTCCATTTACTTAATATATTCTTGTTGTAGGCACTTTCTTGGGCTATCCTCACAGCTCTTTGGACTGTAAAGATGTTTCCTAACCATGCTCTGTGACTCTCTCCACATCTTGGTCCTCAGCAAAAAAGGACTAAGTTAGTTTAAATCAGGGAAAGTGGATACTGGGTTATCCTTTTGCAGTTCATCTGTTTATTCATTTAATCAAGAAATATTTATTCTGCAGCTATCACATGCCACATACTTTAGTAGAGTTTCCCTGGGACTTCCATCACAGTGGCTCCCCAAAGGCCCAGGAGAGTAGAGACCTGAATTACAGAGAGAAGTTGGACACTGGGATTAGGGAGGAAAAGGTCACGAAAAGGTCATGCATTACTGGAGGAATGCAGGTAACTTAAATGGCAAAGTAGGACAGATGGAAAGAAAACAGTCCTGAGTTCTTAAGTAGTGCTGGCATCCAGCTGGATAGACACAGAGGAGCTGTGGATAGCTGGAAAGTCCATGCCACGTTGAAAGAGTACAGCTGCTACTCAAGGAACAATCACGGGGTCTAGGGTTGCCAGAAGCTTTGTTTGGCCAAACCATGTAGAAGAAACCAAATGTGTCTGGGATCCATCCATTTGCAAGCTCTAAACCAAAGGGATCAGCGGAGGCAGAGTTTGAAGTTCTGGCATATGCTCTTCTGTTGCTTTCTCATACCATCTCTTTGACCTTGATTCTCATCTGTCAATCCCAGATAGGAGTGACCATCCTAAGCCTACCTACCTCACAGGATTCTGTTAGGACAAAGGAGGAAATGGAAGAGAAAGTATATCATGAACCCTTGCTCCTCAAAGGATGGTCCTTGGATCAGCGGCAACAGCACTTGGGAACTTGTTAGAAATGCAGACTCTCAGCTCCATCCAAGGCCTATCGAATAGGAATCATTTAACAAGATCCCCAGGGGCATTCATAGGCTCAGGAAAGTTTGAGATGCCCTGCTGTAAATGGCAAAACTCTTAATTAGGAGCAAGAGATTTGGTAAGCTACTCCTCTCTGCCTGTGTGCCTACGTGTATGTGGGTACCAGCTTTGGGAACAGAATATACAACTTCGAGAGTTCCAGCCCCTCTCCTCTCCAGGAAGCAAAAGATGAAATACCTGTGGCTTAGATAATTGCTTCCAGCTATACTGGGAAACGCCGAGCAAGAGAAAAATAAAAGTCACTGATTCAACGACTGATCAGTTAACTGAAGAGATAGGATGGCCCACTGGCCATGGGATCAGGCAGGCCTCAGTTCACATCTGCCAGTTTCTGTTTAAATGTGATCGCAGGAAAGTTGCTGAAACTTTCAGAGGCTCAGTTTTCTCATCCATAAAATAAGAATACTAATAGTATTTCCTTCATAGGATAGTTAGGAATATCAAATGTGATCAAGTACGAAACACACCAAGGCTGTAGGACTACCTCCTGACCCTCAGTCCTGTTGTAGGCTCTTTATAAATACTGCACATCCTGACCGCCAATCTGAACCCGCAGACAGCTGAAATCAGTTGGCTTTGGCATTCTTTGTTGTCCCTAAATCCTGTTCCAAGCCAACCGCTTTTGTTGATATTTGCATTAGATATGAACCAGATTTGTAAGTGTCATGCATAAGAAGAGAGCTTTATCCAATTTGGGGTTTGTTACTTAATATTAAATCATTCATACAAGGAGCCAGTGGTATGTGTGCTGGGAACTTCCGTAGAAGTGACGTGCAAACATCAAATGGCAAGTTATTAGGTTATTACCCGTAATGATAATGTCTGCAATCTTCAAGAAAATAAAACAACCCATCATTCCAGAAAACAGGTCTTTGTTGGAGGCCTTGGGCTTTGCAATGAGAGAGATGACTAATGGTCAAAGCAGAAGGTCTCCTAGAAAAAATGCTTTACATTCAACTACCTAGAATTTCAGTCTGGCATGTGTTATTATTGGGAAATGTCCTGGTGACAATTTTAAGAAGCAGAGTGAGAAAATATTCATGGAGAGGGGTGAGAAGGGGGCCACTTCATAAGATTTCTGGTAGTTCCAGTTTAGAAATCATTATCCTTATATTATCCTCACACCAAGAGAGCATACATCAGGAGCAGGGGATAAAGAAAAGTGAAATGAAACAGGGACAAAGAAACTACACAATAGAACTGAGACTTCCCTATCAAAATAAGAGTTCTAGGCTTTGACTTTTCAAGTGGTAGCAACTATTTTCAGCAAAATGTACATACTGATTTTCTATACATTTCCCCCCACGTAGGGCTATATAAACACACCCACACGCTTATAGTTCTTTTAGACTATAAAGTTTGGAGGGTTTTTGTGGGAGTTTTTTGCCAAGAAAAGGGACAGTGAATCATTGTCTAGAACGACCTTCAGAAAGTATATGAAGCCGATGCACCATCTGTATTTTTTCAGATGTATATTCCCATTTTACTTGAAATAACATCATTAGCACAGCCATCCCACAGAGCTAGAAGGCGATCTTGTTTCCCTCTTGCCTGGCTTGAAGTCAAACATCTTTTCTTTTTTTTGGCAAATGCTGCTTCTTTCTCTGAAATATTTCATGCAGATAATGGCTAATGACCACTTCTCATTGCCTTTTCTCGAAAACGTCTAACTGCATTAGCCAAGAACGTACAAATTTTAACCTGCTTCTTTTGCTAAGTTCACGGCTGTGACCACTTCCTATTAAGAGAGAAAGAGCGAGAGAAGAAAGCTCACTGTTCCTTCAGAGAAGCAAATTGGCACTGTCAGAAAGCGAGCTGGCCTTTGCTTTTCTGGTGAAAAGTCTGCTATCTCTAGAATCACAGGAGTCCAAGGTGGAAAGACCTTTCACGTCTTATGAGCAGTGACTCAGTCAGACAAGGATCTCCTTGCCCTGGTATATTCTTCAATTCTATGATTAATGGCTCAGATACTGGACCTTCCAATTCTTCCTCTTGCTCTTGGATTCTCTGCCAGTATGATCACTGTGACCAGTCTGGCGATGAGGACCACGGTGTATAGAACTCCCCCCCCCCCCATCCCTAGGGGTTGAGCAGGGTTTCCAGGCTGCTTCTCCTTGCCTCAAACACTCCAATTTGACTTTTGTTCATTTGACATGAGGCAAATCAAGAACTCAGAACCCCCCCCCCCCCATCCCTAGGAGTTGAGCAGGGTTTCCAGGCTGCTTCTCCTTGCCTCAAACACTCCAATTTGACTTTTGTTCATTTGACATGAGGCAAATCAAGAACTCATCCCCTGTAAAAATATAAAGACTTATTTTCTTATCTCACCTTTGCACTTCAAGGTGAACGAGTTTATTAGCTGGTTTCTATAGAAGAACATGTGGCCCCAGGAGCCAACTGGGTCACCGTCACACTCCAACCCAGTGGTTCTCAACCCAGAGCATGTTTGTGCATTTGGACAATGTCTGGAGACACCTTTGCTTGTTATGACTGGAGACAAGGTGCTACTGGCGACTGGGGGGTGGAGAGGCCAGGGGTGGTGCTAAACACCCCTCCATACACAGGACAGCCCTCACGACAAAGAAATATTCCGTCTCAGATGTCAATAGCTGAGAAGTGCTGTAAAGCCAAGGACAGCGGCATTGGCGCTGGGAATTGGCGACAACTCATCCTCTTTCTAGTTGTCAGTGAAGCGGGGGCTCTATGGGGAACACTTGGTGTTGTTAGGGGCGAACTAGAGAAGAAAGCACGCACAGCATGCTCACAGGTGTTACGACATGGAACTGAAGAGCACAAGGTCTGGAGCAAGCCTGCCCGGGTGCAAATCCCACCTCTGCCACGTCTCACATTGTCATCTGGAGCAAACTCCCAGCCTCTGTGGGTCTCAGTGTCTTCATCTATAAATTGGAGATAATAGTAGTACCTCCCTCAAAGATGACTGTGAGAATTGAGATAACTGGAAAGAACTCAGAATGCCTGGCAATAATAAGCACTCGATGTATGTTCCCTCTTATTAGCATTACAAGAACAAAGAGGTCATGAAGAGCCACATTTTGAAGCTGGATTTCTCGGGATGTTTAGTATTTACGCTTTCAAGTGTTGGCTGAAAAAAAAAAAAAATCCATCGGGCTCCTAGCATTATTCTCAACGAATTCCTTCTGGATTCATTTAAATCCCCTTATCAGAATAAGTATTTTTATACTACAAGAAACAAACAAACAAAAAGTTAATGATGAAAAGGATTAGCATTTCTAAATAACTCCAGTAACTCTGTCAAATAAATCCTGACCTATTTCAGTTCTTAATTAACTAGGTTAGCTTTTACAGGAGGCAACTTGTCTAAAACAGCAAGTCTGATCTGAGGCCAAACCCGCCCTGGACAGTTGGATGAAACAGTTCTTGGAAATGGCCCAAATTCTGGGACATACAGAGGTCTTCGATCTTTTTGAATCGACAGTTTGAAAAATCTGATGGAAAATCCTCCAGGGTTTTCTGACCCTTTGATATAAGGTTAGGGCTGGTCTTTTCAAGGCTTGTCATCTTTTCTCTGCCCCTACCTACAAAGGAGATGGGTGAACGGGACAAGTCTTGAGGTCACTATGTCAGCATTCTTCCCATCCCCACAATGGTACTGAACTGGTCATTCTCACAGGAGAGGACAGTGGGTGAGGACAACAGTGTCTGCGGATCTAATGTTCTCCGAAGGGGAGCACAGATATGTGGCTTATAATACATCCACTGTCTTGTCCTTGATACTCTTTCTGACCTTTTTTTTTTCCTTCTGTTTTATGTATTTTCCTCTGCTTTTTTTTTTTTTTTTTTGCGATATGCGGGCCTCTCACTGTTGTGGCCTCTCCCGTTGCGGAGCACAGGCTCCGGATGCTCAGGCTCAGCGGCCATGGCTCACGGGCCCAGCCGCTCCGCAGCATGTGGGATCCTCCCGGACCAGGGCACGAACCCGTGTCCCCTGCATCGGCAGGCGGACTCTCAACCACTGCGTCACCAGGGAAGCCCTCCTTTGCTTTTAAAGTCTTCTGATGTTAGTTTTCTGTCACCTCCCAAACCACTTTCATGAAAGCTGAATTCTCCTAAAAAATAATATATGCATATTTTTCCTTAACAACAACCAAAAAGGCAGCTTTTTGTTCAGCTAATTGGTTAGTTAGTTTGCTTTTTGGTGTAAAAGATCATTTGTCTTTTCCTAGGGACATAACAAGAAAAAGAACCAGAGCTTTCTGACCTGGAGGAGGATGATTAGGCCTGTGTCAAATTATTAGAAAAGAATCCTCTTGCATGCGGCCTCTAACACCTTTGACTGTCTATTAGGAGATAATAAAGGTAATTAGCTGCTGTACCTAAAGAGAGACAGCCGTGTTTCAAGGAGGACATTGGTTGCCTTTCCAGGTCTTGTTAATTTTTTGTTACTTATAAACATTTAAAAATGAGGTTGGGCTTCCCTATTCTGTCCATTAATTATCCGTGATGATAAGGTCAATACTGTAAAATTTGGGACTGATGTTTATAGTCAAGCACCTAATCCATTGTAACTTACACATTGGTTATTTCAAATTCTGAGCCTACTTTATGTGCCACTTCCTTCCTGAGACCTTCTCCAAGACCCCAAAATAGAGTCTCCCTTTCTCTGTGATCCATAGGACTTTACCCACATCTACTACTGGACAAACCAAATTGTGATTCTGGATCCCACCTCCCAGATGGTAAGCTCTTTAAGAGCAAGGAGGCTATTGGTGTTTATTTTCACATGCCCAGCACCGGGAGTTCTTGGCACTCAGTAAGGACTCTGGAAATGCCCTTCTCTCTCCTTCACAGCTTTGTAGTCTATGACTTTACATAGGATCTTTTTAAAAATAATTAATTAATTAATTTAGGCTGTGTTGGGTCTTTGTTGCTGCGTGCGGGATTTCTCTAGTTGCGGCGAGCGGGTACTACTCTTCCTTGAGGTGCACGGGCTTCTCACTGCGGTGGCTTCTCTTGTCATGGAGCATGGGCTCTAGGTGCGTGGGCTTCAGTAGCTGTGGCATGAGGGTTCAGTAGTTGTGGCTCACGGGCTCTAGAGCGCAGACTCAGTAGTTGTGGTGCACGGGCTTAGTTGCTCTGCGGCATGTGGGATCTTCCCGGACCGGGGCACAAACCCGTGTCCCCTGCATCGGCAGGCGGACTCTCAACCACTGCGCCACCAGGGAAGCCCCATCTCCTCTCTTCATTTTAAAGTAGGTAGTGTAGCTGACTTTATTTTTTAAGGCATATGATCAGTTTGGAACTGATGTAAGAATAACATTGTCAGGTCCAGGGGGAATAAATCTGCTCTCTTCCAAGCACATTGGGAAGAAGCCAGCAGGACATAGGTTCTAGTCTTCGGGGGATTAATTTAATGAAACTCCAGTGCATCTGGACTACTCTCCGGCAAGAATGATCCAGATAACATGTGTTTAAATATTTGATGTTTTGTTTAAAGAGCAGAGAGGTAAAACAAAAACACAAGAACTTTCTCTTTTCTCTCTTTTCTTTCCCTGTTTTTGGCATTTCATGTTTGTTTAATACGAGCACATGACCCCAGCTTGGCCAGTCAGACTCTTGTTCCTGGAATCTGAATTCTGACCCCACAACTCAAGGATGGAAAATGGCTGGAGTGGATCCATCTTGACAATAGCATCAAGAAGAGATGGCCCTCTGATTATGTCCCCGTGATCTTCAGAGGCCTACTGGCTCCTCCCCCTTCAGTAAGCTACTCCACACGTCTTCCAGCAAATTCCTTATTTTGACTTGAGTTAGCCAGAGATAACATTTGTGGTTTGCAAACAAAGACCTCACTGTCTAATGGATGGTGCTGAAGACATACCTTGAATCAAAGAATGAATCCCTGCTAACTCTAACAGGATGGTTTCTTTGCATGTAGAATAAAGCAAGCTCAGACTCTTGGTGGCATTGCCTGGCATTCAGTAGAGGGTAGTTTAAATGTTCACAGACACATGGGCAGACCATAAAGCAATGCTAATTAGAGCATCCTCTTTCTAGAAACCAAGAATTTCCCTCCAAAGCCAAAGTCCCCTCCATCCAGATGTACATTTTTCCATAGAGCCTGGCTCTATGTATGGATCTGCCTTGAAAATGCTTTGTAGAAACATATCATCCCCCAGTGACTTGAATGTACCCTTCTAGAGTATGTTTTCCGCGCTCATAGTCTACTGTGTCAATAATCTGCATATTTAAGAGTCCCCACATGCTAACTGAGACGATAGATGGGGCTGGTACAGTCTACTGGGTCAAAAATCTGCTTTAAATAGTCTATATACACAGGCGGTTGAGTAAATAACAGCATTTTCAAAAAGCCCCTAAATATATAATAACATGATAAATCGCATCAGCTCCTGAAGAGGCAGGCTCGCTACTGCTGATCAGGAAAATGATGTGCGCTTTAACAAGCCACTTACAAATGGTCTCATCTTTTCCAGCTGTGGGAGCACTGTCTCTTCCTTGGCTATATTTTTCATATGTAGAGAAAAGGAACCCAAACACAGACACACACGCGCGTGCGCGCACGCACATACGTATGCTCAATATCATCTGCACACGTAAACTGGGT